AAATCTCACAGTGTTATTACTATATCAAGTTTTGGAAATTCTTTGAAGGCAGAAAAATAGAGCTGGTGGTCAATTTATGAATAACAACACAACTGTTGAAAAAGTCTAAAATTTTATTTTGCTAAACTTTGCTTAATAGATAAATTTTACTTAACACTTAGACGATAGGCTACCGCAGTGATTCATATGGTCTGCTATAATTAAGCCATTTCCAAGCCTAGTACCAGAATAAGATACTCATTGCAGAATTCCCAGGCAATCCTATGAACTGAAATTTAATGTAGAAGTGTTTGCCTTCTTCTTGCTGTGTGAGCCTTAGAATAATTCAGAGATTTTAGCAGAAAAATAGCACAGGTCATTAGGAGAAGTCTATGTCAGAGAGAAAACTAAAAACTAATTCATGAATACCCATAGACTGCCAGTGTATTCTATGTATTAGAAAATAAGTTCTTGTTCTGTTTTATGGAGGCAGCATCTGAACCGCTTCCCATTCCTGGCTTCATTCTGATTGACTCCTTCCTTTATTCTATTCTCCTTCCTCAACAGAAGGAGCTGTTAACCTAGTGGTGAGATCAGAGTCTCTGTAGGGCTACATGATATAATGCACAGGTTCTGCCCTAAGGGCAGGATCCCATCTGCATCTTTTCATTAGATCAGGGCCCAGTCCAGAAAGGCAGGCAAGGTTTTCTCTTCTCTATATCTACTTCGCTAGGTGGGTGCCTGTGGTAGTGATTTCTCAGCCCAATCATCCTTTCTCTAAGTAGCACCCTGAACAGCAAACCAAATAGCCTTATTCCAAGTTGACAGGTAGTACAAAAGATGAGATCACATGGGAAGCCTAACCTGCAATGCATTGCAGACTATATTGAATACCTGCTTATTTTTTGTGCTAGTGCAGACACTCTGTAAAATTTAACTCCTTTCTGATAGTATCTGTAGTGTGTACAGAGCACTGAGGAAGTCTGTTAGCAATAGCATCAAATGACAGGGCAGAATTTCATAATATCCCTGCAGATACTTTAAATCCAATGATAATATCAAAATTTCACTGACCTCTTCGGTATATTTGTTATGATCACAATGTTAATGTCAAAGTTATTATAAATGATAACCCACCTCTTTACAATTGTAGCATTTTCCATGTATCTTTTAATTTCTGAGCTGATACCTGAGAGAAGTGGAGCTATCCTAACACTTAACCCTTTGGACAGAAAATTTCTGCAGCTGTGCTCTTTACAAAGCTTGAGTCATTCAGTAGCTGTCCACCACTAGCAAGTTTGTCTAACCTTTTGTGGGATCTGGGCAAGGGCTGAAGCAATCACATTGGCCCTTTCTTCTGTCATGTTACTGATCATTGATCCCAGAGAAAACACCACCACACCACTCTCTCCAGAGCTCTGGACAAAGTCTTCCATGTCCTGTGAAGAAAGAATGTGTTCCATCACAAACGGGTATCAGTATAAGAAGCATATTTGAAAAAATTGTTAAAAACATCTAAGAAGATAAAATCAAGTATTATTAGAGTAAAGGCTATTTTTTCACTGAGCTAATCAGTGCGTTTATATGGAAAGAAATGTGTATTAAGAGATAGATGGCTTCTAT